TTTGTTACAAACTAATTGCAATATTAAAAAAACAAAAACAAAAATATATATAAAAATATAGAACTAAATAAAAATTATATTACTATCTACAAATAAAATTAACGAAATATATTATTAACAAATTCTTAAAAAATATAATTTACACTTTATTAAAAATAGTACATTATTTTCAAACGTAATGTAAAGTAGTCATTCGTAGCAGTATTGTTCGTAGTCCGTCTCTTTTCTTCTTCAGAAATGTCGTAGATTGTATCATATAGCCAAACTGTGGAAGACAGTCTTTCATAATTGTTATACCAATAGTTTGGAAATGTAAACTATTGTTATAACGACTATGAAAGAATTAGAAACGTTGACAACTTACAACTAAACATTGCTCACATTACCACCAAACTATTCCTATTAAATATGTACACACAAACAATTAACTAAAATCTAACTTAACCAACCAAAAATTGCACAAAATTATACATAGTTTCTCTAAATATCCATCACTTAGCACACTGTCCATCGCTTATTTACACTGGCTGCAAACTCTGGTATTCAGCGCAGCTTTAAAAATGGCTATTTCATTTTTTTAATTTGATACTTGGAGGCCGAGATCGATCTCCTTCATTCTCCTTCGGTGCCGGCTCTGCTTTGCAGCGAGATTGTTTCTCTCCCTGTGTTCTTTGTACATTTCACTAGATGCGTCTGGATTTGTCGACCGAACTATTCGACGCATCTTTGGATTGTATACAGGCTTTCCATCGTTATCTCTCAGCCATTATCATCAGGACTTTGCGTTGTGAGGCTTTAAAATCATTATCCGTATTTTCCGGTGATGGAGCCGAAACTAAAAGCTCGATGTCTAATGAACCATCGCCTCCACAAGTAGGACAACATTCTTCTTTTGTGGTCTTGGATAAATCCAAGTGCGAGTCGTCGAGGTAAGGTCTCCAAAGAGCCATAGTTCTTTCGTGCGATCGTGTTGACGGTATGAAGGTTAATGACTTAGTGTCGATCACTTGAGCAATCATCCTTTCTGCGTTTAGGGGTGGGGCTAAAGAGTGGATTTAACGCAGCGCGTTGTAGGAGTCCGGATACGATTATTCATGCTACCTACTTCGAACGAACGTTGAATCAAAACCAATAGCATTACGTGGCTTTGGTTGGTTAAGCTTTTTTACATTGTATAATTTATGCAAACTTATTTTAGAGATATCGTCGACCTATTAATTCTTTTCTTTATATATATTTATATTCTACACATTATAACAGTAATTGTATACTTTGCTATCATAAATATTTAGCTGGTTAGCTAAATGAAAACAAAACTATTCCCAAATAAATCAAAAATCTTTTATCTAAAATGTGATAGGTATATAAAAATTCCTTAATTTCTAATTTATAAGGAATATCTAAAGAGGAATATATATCATTGAGAAATAATTCAATTAAAATTCACATCCTAATGCTATTAAATGCAACATTCTCATAGATACGCTTGGATAGTTATGTAGCTTATGTATTTTGGTGGAATAAACCCTACAATAATCAGCACCGGATAAATTAGAGTACTAAATAGTATGTTAGTATTTTTTCTGTATCGAAGGGTCTGTAGCGTTTTAAAGACAAAAATCCCCAAAAAATAGAGATATTAAAAAAATATTTATAATCGAAGCTTTGATGTTGGCGCATAATTCTTAAACACTTAATTAGCAATAAAAAAGTGAATCCTAATCACAGAAACTGTTACTTTGTACAATAGTTTAATGATGTATCATTTATTCGACTATTATATATATATAGATATTTCTATAGATATTTTTTCCCGTTCATCAATCAATAACGCTGATTTCGAGAAGTAAAAACTGACTTTTATTTACCATCAATAACATGTCCTAATGCCGAAGAAACAATTTACAATATTGAACTTCCAACGAATTTTGTTAAACAAAGTTAAAAATTGTATAAAAAATGCTCAAAAGTTCTCTTTGTTTAATATAAGTGCAAAAAGTAAGACATTGATAACTTATGACTTTTATTTGATCAAAATATATATCAAACTTTTTTTCTAAAACTATGATAGTTTTATTTGAAGAACTTTAAGAATTAAATAATAATTTTATTTGTATTCCATTTTTTCTATTGGACGTGATCTATATCTTCAAATTGTGACCTTTTTATTTCACTAAAGAAGAAAATACTAACATATAATCAAAGCTTACTAAATTTTGATTGAAAGTAGTGATAATTTTGATAGTAATTTTTGCTTCTTTATGTTAATATGTTGTAATCCATTTGGTACTTTTCAATCGGAAAATTTAAAAGGAATATTTATAAACATTGCCTCTAATTTCTGACTAGACAATTATACAAGAATTTATTTAGAAGCCCGCTGTATTTTTTTTTTATCTGTATACTATAAATACATCGACCAAGCTTATTACAACTATTATTTTATGAATCGATACCTGCTGTGCTACTGGACACCTTGGTACCGATGCACCAACATTTTTACTTCTGTTCTCGATTACCAATCTTTAAGAATCTCTCAAGATAAGAGATATGTTTTCACATCGCGGCATGCATTCTGTTCTGCTACAAAACACCGTAGCAAGATTAAGGAGTATATTACGCTATAAAGTGTGGAAAAATAGGTCTTCAAAATATGATTGGTAATTAGGCCTAATTACCATTACGTATCAGTTATCATCAGTCTATCAGTCAGGGGTGAATTACCCCTAGATTTGTCACCCCTTATCCTTAATTGATTAGTTTTCAAATTATCATAGAAAAGATATTTTAGTTTTCTATTTATTTATAATGATAAACACTTACTTTTAAGATAAAAATATATTTTCTTAATACCAATAGCAACATATTAAAAGTTGAAATAGAAATTTAAAAATCGATAATTAAATCAGTGGTAATGTGAAGTTCCTGACATAACAGTGCTTGGTATTTATATGGTACTGTCATTATATATTACAATGGAGAATCCTTCAATACAAAAGATTTGTAACGCATGGGGGTGAGTATTGTCACACGTCGATGAGCATAGATTGATGATGTGAGGCTGACGACACACGAAAGATAGCTCAATTACCTATTTATACTGTTAGATACCTAAAAAGTGAATATTAAATCAAAAACGAAATGATTATTTGAAATACTAGCACCCTTTTTCAATATAAAATAATAATAGGTACATATAAATTATACTTAATACAAAATGCTTAAAAAATCCACAATATTAAGAATAATTTTCAGTATGGCATTGTGAATGCAAAATTAATAAAAATATAATAATTAGAACAGGTAGTAGTAGGTAGAGGAGTAGCTCGGTGGCGTAGTGGATAAGCGCCGCGGCCCGCGATTGTAGTCGTTAAGCAACTTTCGCAAGGGTCGGTCACGGGATGGGTAACCAAAAAAAAATATTATCTCGAGCTACTCCAATCCGTAATGGGCCAGCGTGGAGGGTCATGGCCCACCCTCCTTAACCTTCCATAAGGAAGGCCTGAGCGCCTGCAGTGGGGACGTAAAAGGGCTGGTGGTGGTGGTAATAATTAGAACAAAATTCTCATCTTTATCGAAAGTTTCAATATTTGTAACAATATTTCTTTCGGCTGTTTGGGTGGATGCCTGAACATTGATGAGAATACGCTCTGTAGTAGTGAAAAGTAACAAGTGATTGAAAGATTCGTCAGTCCTGTTAGGTCCTAGGTAGCTCAGTGGTTAGAGCAGTCGCCCGGATTGCGAAAGGTCGTGGGTTCGATTGGGTGGGTTTTTTGATCAAGTAGGTTTTTTAAGCGTTTTGTATTAAGAATAATTTTCAGTATGGCATTGTGAATGCAAATTGATCAAAATATAATATATATAATGATAAAAGTCTTCTCATTCAACAAAGCTCTGTTTTTTAATCAGTGTTGTTGATGGCAGACTACATTTTCAACAGCTCAAAACTTCCGTTAGAATAATATAAGGTTATTGCCTAAGCCTTTTTTCCTGGTACACCTTGAAGACGAACAGTAATATGCAAATTGTAAATACAATTTCTACTTATTGTGTTCAACTTTAACATTTGTGTTGGATACAAATTTATATGGATTCCTTATCTCTCTTTAAACAATGAAGGCGTTTGAAGGAATATTATTTGCAAATCAATGGCACCTTTTACTCACAATAGACTGTGCAAATTGTTATCGATATATAATCTACTTCCGAGGACATTCATAATATTAAAGAATTCTTTCCTAAAGAAATCATTGACCAAAGAGTTTTTTGTTATTATTGGAAATATAATTCTAACTTTATTTTATTACATTTAATTACGATATGGCTACTTCCTCTTTGAAACTGATATAATTTTCTGCTATCCAAATAATAACACAAGGAAGACAGCGTCGTTATATGAGCTTGACCTAAATGAATATTGATTATTAAATTATACTACTTTAATGTATTGAAATATACTTATTTTTTTACCGATTTAAGTGGGCAACTACTGGATATAGAAACAAAACGAATGAGTTATTAAAACTACATTAAATTTGAATAAAATAAAGCAATTGGCTTCGTTAAAGTTCTTCTAATTTTAAGTGTCTATAATACTTTTTGTGAAAGTTGTGTCTATAAATAGACTCACAAAAAATGATCTCGCTAGTCCCACCCAGGCGACCCTCATATAGCACATTGTGTGTGAACGTTACGCAACGCCCTTTTATATACAGGGAGGAACAAAATGACCGACACAGCCGAAAGTTTCAAGTTAGGTTACATGCAAACGTTCATTTTATTTGACAAATATTTAAAAATAGAGGAGGTGTAAAAATGGCGTAAAAATTTTAAATTTCTAAGTGTAGCCTTCGTTTATCCCGACTCTGTTTTGCCGCATAATTATTTCACTCGCCTACGGCGTGAGTCGTTCAGATAATACGACCCCTATTTGAGTTATTCCCCAGCAGCGATCCACCGTTCTTTTCTGCTATCGCTTGCATGACATCCCTTTCGAAAGCCTAGTACTCCAAAGACTCAACGTCATATTGGTCAGACTTCTTTGGCGGCAATGATGCTGATGGTTTGTATAATGCTTCAGCTTCATGCATCGAAGAGGGTGATAACTGCGTGAAACTCTCAACTGTATCTGGGAAAACTTGTACCGACGGTACACACGCCGGATCTCTGTAATCAAAACCGCAGATTGTGTTGGGCAAAACTCTGTATTGTCTTCCATTGTGGTTACACCCACAATTTGGAGGTGTAATTGTTTCAGATGAAACTCTTTCATCTTTCAAAGTTGACATGCTCAAGTCGAGTGCAACTTCCTCAACGTATGGACGCGAGAAAGACATTTAAAATCTTTTATAAGTTGAGATTTGCGTGTGATATAACCGGTGGTCAATAATAATATTTGTAGTAACTAAAGTCGCGCGCCTTTCATTTGGAGGAACCCTTCCGCGTGAACCCAGATTATGTCCCCAGAGTTTGGAATGGTGAATAACAATGCGTGCGAAACGATTCGTTTTGTTGATGTCACGAGACACGTATTAGCAAAAAATAACGAATGCATATAATAAATCGGCAAGATATATTTAATTAATTACTCGAAAACCATTTTACTATTTTCGTTAAATTGACTTATGATTAGATATTTTAAAAAATATATATTTATATACCTAAACAAAATATGGATTTTTATTTGTCCAACAACAGTGACCACACATTCATTTCTTTAAAATATGCTTATATATTTCTTTTGACATAAAGTAATTTGCATCATCCACATTTATTTATATTGAATACTAGTATTCCGCCAGCGGCTTCGCCCGCTTGGTCTTGTATTATACATAAAAACCTTCCTTTTGAATCGCCCTATCTATGAAAAAAAAAAACGTATCAAACTATGCAGTGATAAAAAATAACCACCGAATCCTCCGAACAACTGCCCACACTATAATTCAAATATATAGTTTTGGAGTTAATTAGGAAAAAAGGCGATAATGGTTTTTTAAACAAAAATGTGTTATAATATTTTAAAATAGGTTTGCTTTTCAGTGTTAGAAAATCATTAGTAATGATAGTTAATGATTTTATTTATTTAAATAAAATGAAAATTATATACACTAAAAGTTCAACTAATCAATATTATTCAAATTTATTAATTATTTGCGTTACATTATTTAAATAAATATACATATTACAATTTATTTAAGAGTAATTTGTAGCTAACATGACTTTGTTATTTTTGTATGAGCCATCTCCATAACTAATTATTTACTCAATACTCAATAATTCAAATTCTTGAAACACATTTTATTGGCTTCATATTATTCTAAATATCAAATATGGCAGTATATTTAATTTCTATCTCATGTCTCGAGTCAAGATGTAGCTACACAAAATGCGCCAGCTGCAGCTACAGGCCACTACAGCAGCAGTTATTGTGTCCAACTTTTAATATTCGTGATTGTTCAAAATTTAAATGGATTCTTTAATCTTTCTATCTAATTTGGAAATTAACTGTACATTTTAGAAACAAAAGACTCTGCGAACTGTTATCTACATATAATCTATTTCCAAAGATATTCCTAATAGTAATGATTTCTTTTGCTAAATAAAGACAATTCGTTTTTGTCTTTACAAGCATAATTCCAGTTTTATTTTATTGCATTGTTTATATACTTACGTATATTATAAAAAAAAGGTTCTCTTTAAACAGGTATTGGGATGTAAATTTGGAAACAGGAAATACATCACTTATTGACACTCGCTGCAAACTCTTGCATTCTGGGCAACCTTCAAAATGGCAATTTTATTTTTTAAACTTGACACTTGAAGGCCGAGATACATCTCCTTCACTCCTTCGGTGCCGGCTCTGCTTTGCGGCTATATTGTTTCTCTCCCTCTGCTTTTTGTACGCTTCGTTTGGTGTTTCTGGATTTGTTGAACAATCCATTCGACGCATCCTTGGATTTTCTACAGGATTCTCACCGTTATTCTTGGCCATTGTCATAAGGACTTTACGCTATGGAAGCTTCAATATAAGGATCCGATTTTTAGGTGGTGAAGCCGGAACTAAAGGTTCGTAGCACAATGAAGCGTTGCCTCCAGAAGCAGAGGAATTTTTTTCTTCGGCGGTCTTGGATGAATCCAAATGCAAGTTGTCGAGATAAGGTCTCCAAAGAGCCATAGTTTCTTCTTTTCGTGCGGTCGTTATGATATATCAGAATCATAATATATGAATCAACCAAAATAACAATATATAAAGAAGTATACAAAACATAATAACACCTAATTTAATTTTTCTAAACTTAACGATATAGGACAACATATGAATTGCACGTTTTTTTAATTTCTGTCTCTTAATTTTCATACATATGTTAAGCTGTCGATAAAGACAGTGACCTCAAACACCTGCGGCTAACATTGCTTGTAGTGTGTCTCTTTTCTTATTAAGAAATGTCACTTGTACAGCCAAACGAACTTCACGTCGCCTTTTTTTATTATGAATCTTATTTACGACACATGTTTGCATGCATCAGTTCTGAACAGTAACTTGCCGTTATTCTCTGCCATCGCCAGCCTAGCGTCTCTTTCAAACGTCTCGTACTCCATATCGTTGTCCAAAAACTCAACTTCATATTGACCTGACGACTGACAGCGATAGTGCTCCAATCCAATGGACTCGTATATTGTTTCAGCTTCATATATGTAAAAAGGGTGATAACTGCTCGGTATTCTTAGTAGACTGGATAGACTTGAACCGACGGCACCCGACGGCACCTGGTTTGTGTAGCCGAAGCCGTAGATTGTATCATACGGCATAATTATGTTCTGTTACCATCATAGTTGTTTTACCAGTAATTTGAAAATATAAACGTTTACAGCTTTATTACATTCCACACATTACCACTAAACAATTCTTATTAAATATGTACAAACAAACAATGGACTAATATCTAACTTAACCATACAATTTTCACAAAGTGTCTCTAAATGTCCATCACTTAGCACACTGTCCATCGCTTATTTACACTGGCTGCAAACTCTGGCATTCAGCGCAGCCTTCAAAATGGCAATTTCATTTTTTAAATTTGACAGTTGTCGGCCGAGAGCGATCTCCTTCATTCTCCTTCGGTGCCGGGTTTGCTTTGCAGCGAGATTGTTTTTCTCCCTCTGCTTTTTATACACTTCTTTCGATGAGTCTGGGTTCTATCAAAAGCTCGTGTTTTTATTATTTCGGTGACAATTTATCTTATCTGAAAACAAAAACAAAAATTTATTTGTACTTTTATTTCGTTGGAATTCAATTTGTTTCTCATTAATTATGTCATTACTTAACAAAAACTTATTTATTTTTATTGATACATTGAAAAATTAGCCGAATGTTTGTGTATCGTACCATCCAAAAGTACACTGAAACTATGTCTGTTGATGACCGTGAGAGATCTGGCCGATCGCGGTCTATTCGAACAAACCAGGCCGTTAATACAGTCAAGGTCAGAATTCGTCGAAATCCATAAGGAAGCAGAAAATCTTTTCCAAAGAAATAATAATCCCACCGAAGACACTTTCTCTGATTATCAAACAAGACTTGGGTCTAGGGGCTTATCGGAAATACATAGGGCGTACCTTAAATCAGACACTAAAACAATAGCAAGTCGAAAGATCAAAACAGCTGTTACTTCGATATGCAGACGAAAAACAGAGAAAAATTTTCTTTACCGATGAAAAAAAATTACAATTACAATCGATCAATAGTGCTCCTCACTACAACAAACAAAATGATCGAGTGTATTCCAAAGTTCAGCGAGGTCATCATCCAGCATACGTCATGGTTTGGTGGAGTTTCTCCCACAATGGGTTACAAAACTAAATTTTTGCGAAAAAAAGAAAAGGTAAGGTAAGTGAAAACTTCAGCCAAAGTGAATCAAGATACCGTGTTAAAAGCGGTAGTTAAACCTCTCAACAACACCTTATTCAAAAACTAAGTGTGGACATACCAACAGGATTAAGCCCCTGGTCATAAATCGCGCTCTACCCAAATTTGCCTTCGGCTAGTCCGTACTTAAACCCTTTGGTCTGTGCTAGAGGATATGGCCTACTCGTCATCCAAATATTGAGTCGCTCAAGGAATCTTTAAAGGCAGCAGTGACCTAGTTTCCGATGGAAACCTTTCGTAAATCCATCGACGAATGGCCCTTTAAAAGCGTGCGTTAAAGCTAAGGGTGAACAATTTGAATAACTAATTTAGTACGTTAATATATCTTTTTCACTCTCCATAATCACACATAAAATTTTAAAATAAAATTTAGTTTTTTAGTAATTATCGAATATTTTCTTTGTAACAGAATTTATGGCTAGACTAGGTATACACTTATTTACTAGATGAGTTAACGCTGGTGTGATGAGCGGGGACCTATATTTAATGTCCCGTTCCCTTATTTTATAGAGGCCTGGGCTTTTATTCATATTAATACTGTCAATTATCATTTATTAGATAAATCTTTTGCTTTTATTTCAAAATATTCAATCTATATATCATCAATTTTATTTATACAAACATGACTGTTCCATTAATTATTTCTTTTTTTTTTGGATTCTTTGTATTATTACATATTTCTTTTTTGACTAATTATTATTTGCCTTATTCAATAATTAATTCGCTCTATTTCTGTTTTTTTTTAATATAATAATTCATTGCGTTTATTAGTTATATCTGACAGACACAATGCCGAGAGATTCTTAATCTTTCTTTTAACAATGCGTGAGTCTGAAGTAATGTAATTTGGAAGTAAATAAAGACAAAGGGTTTTTGTTATTAGAAGCATAATTCCAGTTTAATTTTATTGCACTATTACAATATATTTTTATCATGTACGTACTTTTTATTACGTATTCCTATTTGAACAGATATTGGGATGTAAATTTGGAAACAGGAAAAAATAACTCAACCAAAATTACATTAATATAAAAATTAACAAAACATGTCATGGTTCCATATCTAATCTAACCTTAACTATTTTATCACCTACATGAATTACAAGATGCTTACATAATAGAAATTGCAGATTATTAAACACTATACCATATATTTACAAAAGATATTCTTTACAATATGGCACGAAATTCATAATTTTAAACCAGGAAATATCTGACTCAACAAAAATAAAATTATATAAAGAAATATACAAAACGTAATAAAACTTAATATATTCTAAACTTAAACCTAATGACATTGCACACATTACCACTAAACTATTATTATTAAATATGTACACAAAATGAACTTAAATCTAACTTAACGATAATAATTGCACAAAATTACACATAGTGTCTCTAGAGGTCCATCACTTAACACATTTATTTACACTGGCTGCAAATTCTGGCATTCAGCGCAGCCTTCAATATGGCAATTTCCTTTTTTAAATTTGTCACTTGTAGGCCGAGGTCAATTTCCTTCATCCTCCTTCGGTGCCGGCTCTGCTTTGCAGCGAGATTGTTTTTCTCCCTTTGCTTTTTATACACTTCGTTCGATGCGTCTGGGTTTGTTGAACGAACCATTCGACGCATCCTCGCATTTTCTACAGGCTTCTCGGTGTTCTTTTCGACCATTGTCATTACGACTTTGCGCTCTGAAGCTTCAACATAAGAAACTGAATTCTTTTGTGGTGAAGCCGGAACCAAAGGCTCGTGGCATAATGAAGCGTTGCCTCCAGAAGCACTTTTTTCTTCGGCGGTCTTGGAAGAATCCAAGTGCAAGTCGTCAAGGTAAGGTCTCCAAAGAGCCATACTTGCTTCTTTTCGTACGGTCGTGATGACGGTGTGAAGGTAAATGACTACAGTGTCGAACGCTTGAGCAAGCGTCCCTTCTGCGTTTAGGGGCGGGATCAAAGAGTAAGTTTAACCCCGCCACGTTACAAGTCTGGAACCGATTAGTCATGCTACCTGCTTCGAACTAACGGGAATAAAACTGTTAACTTCACGTGGCTTTTGTTGGTTAAGATTTTTTTTATTAAATGATTTAAGCAAATATTTTAAGAGATACAGTCAACCTTACACGTAACACTCGATGTGGAGTAATGAATAAATTTACTTTAGCCCATTTATTTCCACACAATTCCAAATATAAATTCTTCTCATTACCTATAAATTGTTATCTAGACATAGGCTTATGTGTTATTGTATATGCTTTACTAACATAATTGTTTAGCTGGATTTTCCCAATGTAAACAAAACTATTACATAATCGGTCAAAGCCATATAGGTGTTTATATTTTAGGATATATTACTTAGTGAGTATTGCCCTTAGCTTTTAACATGCGTGTTCTGTGTAGTGACCCCAATTTTATAGTCATTTTATTTTATTTCTATTGAGATCATGTTGCTATGTTCTCCGACAATACTAAAATTGTATCTGTCCGTGGACAGTTTTTAAACTAATCCAACAGTGGGCCCTGTATCCCGTTCTGATTCATTTTTTTATATACTTCATAATTTAGCGCATCTAATGACTTGCTAAAATCAATCATGAATGCAAGCACGTGATTTTTGTCATTTAGATACAATTTATCTCATCTGAAAACAAAGACATAAGTTTAGTTGTACTTACATTTCTTTGGAATCCAAATTACTTGACAAAAGCCTAATTATTTGTCTTCCTATGTATTTTTCTATAATTTTGTCAATACATGATATATTTGTAATCGGCCTATAGTTGTTTGTATCTGTAAAACTACTTTTTTGTGTATTGGTTTAATATCGTTTATTTTTAATGTATCTAGATAAATTGAGGTTACTATACACAGAATCCGTGCCGTTATTATAACAAGCCGGGCCTTTATTCATATTATAAACCCGGGCCCAGGATTCGTTAATACATTAATCATTTGTTTAATTAATAAAATTCTATAGAAATATTATTTTTCATTTATCAGACGTTTAATACAAAATTGCTGAACTAAACAGATATAAAACACCATGCATCCGTTCTTAAAAATTGCAAAAATTATGGCAGACCGTCTTTTGTTTTCCTGTTGTCTGACGTAACTGGAAAAATCCGATGCAGAAGCAGCAATGCAGTATCGGGGATCCAATGCTCGATGTATCGGTTCACGGCAGGGTCGCAGGTCACAATAACTGAAGACTATTTATAGTTCTTGAAATTTCGTTGAAAAAATTTTCCTTTAGGACTTTTCGTTCTGGTCACCAATTTGGGGGTTGCGTAGTGTGTGTTCTTCATCGGAATATTGGATGATGTCAACGTCAACTTGGATGATTCGGATGCTGTAAATCAAACGCTTCTTAGATTCACAAACAAATTATAGAATTTACAGAATACTGGAAGTTCGTTTCTTGTTTTGCTAACCGACTCGCTGAGAATATATATACAATATATTATATAATCATTGTACATCAGTGTCGTAAATAATATATAAATAGTATAATATCTGGGTAGAAATTTCTTTATTTTTGTCTAGTTTGTCTCGGAATAATGTCCACACGTTTACTCCAGTACAGTACAGTACAAAGTGAACAAATACACAGATATTCTTTATGTAAATACAAGCTAGAGGCAAAATATGAATCTTTTTGAAAAGTGTCTTAGAACTATCATCAAATCAAGTATTACATATAACATGCTAAAAAAGGCTTATTATAAGGTATCCAATTATATAACAGATAAGAATGCTTGGACTTAGATGATCCAGCAGCTGGATAGGTGATTATTTCTAAACCCATTATACTCGTATGTCAAAAATTATCTTTTTTCCGTTATAATTAAATGATTATATTATCATTATTAGACCATACTTTTTTTTTCTCTCTCTCTCCCTCTCTCTCTCTCTCTCTCTCTCTCTATCTCTCTCTCTCTATTTATAATGTATTGATCTGGTAATGACATGGTTTTTGTGAATGTTTTACTCCTATTAGAGCTAGAGTTTCTTGCTGTTCGTCTTATCAGTTAAAAGACGTCCTCAACGTGCGCTAGGGAAGAAATGTTGGACGATTCAAAAGTACTTTTAAGAAGTATATTTGAATAAAGATTATTTTGACTTTTTAACTTTTGACACGAACACATTTCTTTTGAATTTTATAAGCACCGTTTAGATCTACAGAAGCTTTCCATAGTATCAGACCGTGGCTTAAAACCGACGACACATAACCATGATATGTTGTCAAAGCAGCTTCAACAGAAACTGTTTTCAAACAAATGCAAACCGGTTAAGTTTTCCACATACATGGTCAATATACTACTTTCAATTAAGATATTTATCAAAAATGATTCCAAGAAAACTTTTTGAATGTATTTATTCTATCTCATAATTTCTGGAATTATTTTTTAAAGGAATAGGACTTCAATTGGATTATCAAATTGAATTAACTGTGTTTTACTTATATTTAATTTTAAAGCATTTTAATCCAACCGTATAACAATAGTGCTGCGGTTATTTTACATTCAAACGTGTCTATTATCACATTCATAACAATTATTGTATCATCTGCGAACATTTATTATTCCTAGTACTACGCGACAAATCGTTTATGTAAATCAGAAAAAGTAGTGATCTAAGCATACTTCCCTGAGAAATACCGATATTATTGATTATAAAATCAGAGCGATATGACAATTTAATATTTATTTTATATTTCGTTACAATTTAACTCTCCTCGGTGGCCTGTAATCTGTTGTACATTCAACTACTCAGCTTGTGCAATAGTTTAGAGTGGCTTACGAAATCAAAAGCTTTGCTCATATCTATGCACAGGACATAACAGGATTTTTGTTATTGTGGCTTTAAGTTACGTGGCGCATAAATTCAAATTATGATAAAGAAGTTGACCGCCCCTTACAAAAACTGTATTTATCTCGATGAAAGGTATGGTATTTTTCAAGTAAATTTGTCAACCTAGAATGCATAGCTTGTTCAAAGATTTTAGACATGCTCGGAAATAAAGTTATAGGTCTATAGTTAGTAATGATTTTGTTCACTTAAAAAGAAAAAAATAATATCCAATGAAAGTTCAACAAATAAATATTATTCAAATGAGACGACTATTGAGTCTTATATTCTTTTTAAAAATACAAATATAATAATTTAAGAGTAATTTGTTACTAAACTGGCTTTGTTTTTAATAAGCCTTCTCCATAACTAATTATTTATCTTTGATCATGTTTAATAATCACATCAAATTCTCGTAACTCATTATATTGACTTTATATTCTAAATATAAAATATGGCAGTATATTTAATTTCTATCTCGAGTCAAGATATAGCTACACAAAATGCGCCAGCTGTAGCTGTAGGGCAGTGCACAGCAGTGGCTACGAGTTTCGTAGTCTTTAGGTTTTACTTGTAATTGCTTGGAAGGCTATGTTTCAGTAAGAATTACTGCAAAATGAGGTAACTTTTTCAACGGCACTTTAATTTTTTTTACACTTTATTGCATTAATACAAATAACTAGGCGGACTTAATGCCAAGGTCATATTCTACCAGTCAACCTGAGCGAATGTTGGATTTGCATATTTCTCTACGTCATTACGAATTTTCTCTTCGATATCTTACCTTACCTTATGAATGGTTAAGGAGGATGGGCCATGACCCTCCACGCTGGCCCAATGCGGATTGGAGGGTATTAACGACTGCAAATGCAGCCGGGACTAACGGCTTAACGTGCCTTCCGAGGCACGGAGTAGCTCGAGATAATAATATTTTGGTCACCCATCCCGTGACCGACCCTTGCGACATAATGCATAACAACAACGATCGCGGGCCGCGGCGCTTATCCACTACGCCACGAGCTACCTCTCTTCTCTTTCTTCTCTTCCAAGAAGTATACAAAACATGATAAAACTTAATGTAGGACAAAATATGAATTGCACATATTTTTTTCGGCCATTATCATTAGGACTTTTTGCTCTGAGGCTTCAAAACCAGAATCCGAATTTTTCGGTGGTGAAGTCGCAACTAAAGGTTCATAGCACAATGATGCGTTGTCTCCAAAAGCAGAGGAATATTTTTCTGCGGTGGTCTGGGATGAATCCAAATGCGAGTCGTCGAGGTAAGGTCTCCAAAGAGTCATACTTTCTTCCTTCCATGCGGTCATGATGACGGTATGAAGATGAATGACTACAGTGTCGATCACTTGAGCAAGCGTCCATTCTGCGTTTAGGGGAGGGATTAATGAGTAGGTTTAACCCCGCCACATTGCAAGTCTGGAAACGATTATTCATGCTACCTGTTTCGAACTAACCGAAATCAAAACTGTCAATATCATGTGGCTTTTGTTGGTTAAAGGGTTTAGCCGGATACGTATGACGAGTCGGCCCCCAAATGGGAATCGATATTGAAACTTATGTTTTAATATCGACTTGATGTTCAAACACGATTTATGTACTTTTCGCGACCGACTTCCGCTTTGACCTTGAGATAGAGAGCAAAATATCCGTATGCTTGACTATTACTGAATGTGATATATCTCTGAAGCTAATTAAGATAAAGAAGTGAAACTAACGCGAGGTGTTTGGTTACATTACAGAGTATATCACATATATTTTTTAGAATAAAAAATTACATTAAAAAAATAAAAAATAAAAAAATCATGTTTTTTTTTCTGAGTTCTCTGTGACTTACAATCACGAAATTAATATATGTTATGCTCCTTTGTGTGCTCTATTACCCATAAAAATTGCGTGAAAAAAAAGTTGGTGCAACACAACGAAAAAAAATTATATGTGATTTCTGTCTTATGGTATACCCCTGTATTATAAGGTTTTCACATTACATCA